TGTTGGTCAGGCTGGTCTCAAACTCCCGACCTCAGGTGATCCACCCACCTTGGCCTCCCAAAGTGCTGGGATTACAGGCGTGAGCCACCACACCCAGCCAAAAATATTTTAAAAATCAGGATTGAGCCCAGGAGTTCAAGGCTGCAGTGGGCCACAATTGTGCCACTACACTAGAGCCTCGGTGACAGAGACCTCAATTCAAAAAATAAATAAATAATAGAAATCTCAACAGTCTTCTAGGCCTTCCAATCATCAGTTCCTAAAAATTCCAGCATTGTTTTATGCTATCACCTCTACCGCCAGGTCTCCCTTACTTTTAGTTGCTGTCAATACAAAACTTCTTTAGGTTTTTCCAGCAGCATCTTCCAGTTTCAAGACTTTTCCCTAAGCTGTCCAATTTGTATGGAATGCTGTTCCCACTCTTACCTCCTTTAACTAATTAATCCCTATTCATCTTTCAATCTTAGCTGATTAAATAAGTAGGCTACTCACCCTGCACTTCTCATAACACTTCTTCCAACTGTAATTAAACTAATTATGCAATTACTTAGTCTGTCTCCTCAAGTAAGCTGTAGGGACTTCTATGTCTTGGTTATAGCTATATCCCCAGGGCCTAGCATCATGCCTAACCCATAAGTACCCAATAAATACTTCTTGAAAGAAGAGCAACAGTTTGGGAAAGTAAAATGAGTTTCATGTGACTGGAGTTTAGAGAGATTTGCCAAAAACCTTCCTAAAACCTGTTTATCAGTGGCCTCTGGTGGCCACCAATAAAAAGTGCATAAGATAGGGCCTTAGGGGCCAAGTGACAAGGTCTGGGCTGGACTCTGCCTCCTGCAGGTCACCTATGCACACTGACCATAGTGTCTGATGGAAAAAGCCCCTGTCCCCACCTTTTGTGATTTTGCAAGCTGGGATTCCCTAACTTCTGAATGTAAGTCGTTTGGACTCTTCATATTGCTAAACCTAGGCACTGATCAGGACAGGGGGATGGAAACTCAGGGCCCAGGTCCAGCACTGCCTTGAAACCAATAGGACAATCATTGCCCTGATTGCTCACTCCTGAGGCATTCTTGAAAAGACTCTAGGGAAGCACTGCAGTGCTTAAGATTTGCCAGTAGATGGCGCTACTTCCTAACGTGCCTAATGCAAGGATAAGGAATTACTCAGCCTCTTGACAGGTTCCTCCAGAACGAATATTTGGGCTTCAAGGGCAGGTCACATCCAGCAGCCCTAGGTCTGTCATCCCTGAGGGAAACAGCCTCCATCTCAGGCCTGACCAGGCAAATAAGACAAGCAAGCAATATGGATGCTCCAATGGCTTTATTAACTCCCTCTTTCCACTGTGGCAGGACTTCATTAGCTGGAGAGCTGGAAGGGAGGCCAAGAAGCTGTGGTCTCAGTATGGGTCATTAAAGGGGTACAGAGGATGCCCTGCATCCCTTGGGACTCTCTTCCCATCCACCTGGAAAGAGAGACAGATAGATTACTGCATCAGCAGGAGTTGCCATTCCAAAGACTCCAGGCATCTTCCCCAAATCTTCCTAAACAAACTAATCTGTGTACAACATTATATCAGATGGCAGTGGCCAGGATCCCCATCTCAGAGAACATCACAGTATCAACAGCATTCTAGCACCAAACCCATAGCCTGATACGTAGCTGCCCCTGCCCCTAAGAGTGTGCAGTCTCAACTGAGATCAAGAGGCCAGGAACCATTTATTTCCCTAAGCACAGCAGACTTCCCTCCCAACCCAACCCCTCGAGTGAGGTCAACAATGCCTTCTGGGCTCTCCTCATATCATTTACTGAGAATCTACTACATGTCAGGAGCTGGGCTCACTTTACACATAGGAAGCTGAGGCTTGGAGAACTTTAATAACTTGCTCTAGGTTACAAGATATCAAGAAGCAGCACTGAGACTCACAGGTTATATGCCTTATCCCTGAGCCATACTACTTCCCTGAGCTCAATAAAGAGAAATGAGAGCACTATGTCCAGCATAGCAATCCCACCCACAACATTGTGTCCCTCTCACAACCAGCAAGCCTGAGGTCACACCTGGGCCAGAATCCCACCCCAAATCTCACATTCGCCAAGTCTAGGGGGCTGATACATCCTCACCATAAGCATAGGCACAATATATCGCCAATTTTTGTTCAGGGCATTTAGCTGCTTCATCTCTTCTGGGCTAAAGGTGAAGTCAAACACCTGAGGATGGAGAGTGGGGTTCAGGAACAACAGCTTTGTGAGCAGAAGCTGGGGTTCCACAACACTGCCTTTTTTCCCAGGTAGAGTCAGGGCCAAGAAAATGTCCCAAAGAGCTAAAGAAGATAGAACCCATTACCAAGTACCTTGATGTTCTGAAGGATTCGAGAAGGAGTGATACTTTTGGGGATGCAGATCACTTTCCGCTGGACCTGCCACCTAAGTTGGGGGATTAGATAGATGAGGAAAAGGAGTCAGTATTCATAAGCATTATTTTGTTCTCCATGCAGCCTTCCCTAAGCTCCTAGAGCACCTGAGCCCTGCTGAAATGGGGAATATGCCTACAGTGGCCTCCCTCCAGATCACAGGGCAAGATCCTCAGCCTCACTCAGACACTGAAACAAGAAATCCCTTAACTCTTGCCTCCCAACCCAGGGCCCTCTCCCTAAGACTGCCCCGTACCTGAGCAAGATCTGAGCTGGAGATCGGCCATACTTTTCAGCCAATGCCAGGACTACTGGTTCCTCCAGCAGGACAGGCTCATCAGGATCACGCCACGCACGATCAGAGGAGCCCAAAGGGCTATAAGCAGTTACCTCCAGGCCACGTGCTTGGCAGTGGGCAATTAGCTCGTTCTGAGCCAAGTATGGGTGGCATTCCACCTGAGCCAAAGAATAACCCATCACCATGAAGTGGTCACACCCAGCTTGCTTGGCCATCCCAGACATGCATGTCTGGACCAATCCCCTATTGCTGACTCCCCCACTCCCCTTCAGCCTGTTTTTCTCACCATTTTCCATTGGCAATTTCATTCTCTCCCACTGCTTCAATGCCCACCTTTAGGCAGAGGACTTCTGCACCAACACTCTGACAACTTGCTAGCCATCTCCCTTAAGCAGATCCATTGTTTGCTCACTCATGCTCTTGAGCACACAACCCCTAAACCACTCATCTGCTTGCTGTCCTTACCTGCAAGACAGCTGGACGCACGGAGGCCACACTAAGTATGTCATCGATCTGCCGACTATTGAAGTTGGACAGGCCCAGCGCCCGCACCAGCCCCTTAGCCACCAGTGCCTCCAGAGCCTTCCAAGTCTCCTTATAGTGGGTGGAGTCGTAGCATATGGTCCCATCAGCATTCTTCGGGAAGGGGTTGTCTCCCCGCCTGAGTGAGAGACAGCCGCACCAAGTGTGGACACAAATGCCAGGCTTCTGCCCTACCTGACCATCCAGCCACTCTGTGTCCCAAACTCCAATCCCAGAGAGGACAAAGGGCCAAGAATTTTTAAAAAGCCATGCTTTTTCTTTTTTCTTTTTTTTTTTTGAGACACAGTCTCACTCTGTCGCCCAGGCTGGAGTGCAGCAGCGCGATCTTGGCTCACTGCAAGCTCCGCCTCCCGGGTTCACGCCATTCTCCTGCCTCAGCCTCCTGAGTAGCTGGGACTACAAGC